AAAGAAAGAAAGAAAGAAAGAAAGAAAGAAAGAAAGAAAGAAAGAAAGAAAGAAAGAAATTTAAAGGTGGTCCAAGCAGGATTTGTTTTGATGTCACACATTCCATTTGACATGATGCTTTTATAGAATTACATTACCTTGATTGTTAAAACAAGATCAAACATTTTTGCCTGATGTCCTGACTATGACCTTTTTATGAAGAGTTGGTTAAGCTGGCAAGGAAGGGAATGTTTGGCGTGAGTGGTTGCAAAGGTAAGAAGTTAGACCTGGAAGGAGTTAGGAAAGACCATAGGTCGGCCTTTTAGGGATTTTGGCAAACCAGCTCTGCAACCTTTGCAGAGTGCTTGAGGGTTTATGGGATTTTGTCCAACCGGTCCGCATGTGTTTTGCCGAACAAGGCATGTGTTTTGTGGAGCTGAGAAGCATTTGAATGTGTCCCCCACGGTGGACCCTTTGCCAGGGGTCACCCGAGTGGAGCAGGAATTGGTCTGCATTGGCGGCATTAAGTCCAACCTGTTTCAGGTGAAAGATGGACTCTGTCAGGGCTGCACTTCCTCACCGGTGCTGTACATTACCTTAACGGACAAGATTTCCGTGTGCAGACAAGAGCCTGAGGGGGTCTGGTTTTGGGACCAGCAAATTAAATCCCTGTTTTTTGCAGATGACCTGGTTCGGCAGACCCCTCCTCCCAACACCTACAGCATGCACTAAGACAGTTCACAGTAGAGTGTTAAGCAGCCGGAATGAGAAGGCCTTGGTTTTCCACCAAAAAAGGGTGGCTTGACCTCTTCAGGGTGGAAGAGAGTCTATGCTTGGTGATGGACCAAGAGTCCTGTTGATCAGTAAGAGGACAATAGAGTGGGAGATAAACAGAGCAGTCTGTTGTGGTGAAGAAGGAGCTGAGCTAAAAAGGCAAAGCACTCAATTTATGTGTTGGTCTATGTTGCTCCCCTCACCTATAATCTTGACCAAAACAAAAAGATCCGAGATACAAAATCAGCTTTCCCTGCAGGGTGGCTGGGCACTCCCTTGGACATAGGGTCATGAGCTTAGGGTCATGAGCTCTGTTCATCCAGGCGTAGAGCCCATTCTCCTCCACATCAAGAGGTCTCAGCTAAGGCGCTTTGGATATCAAAAATGCCCTCTTATTCTTACAAATTGATCTAAATTCTCTTATTCCACAGCATCATTAAAAACACTTTGCCATATCTTATTAATTTTGCCTTTGTAGTTTATCCGTATTCTATATTATCTAGTAGTTAATGTTTCCCGAATAAAGCACTAACATTAACATTTCTTTAGTTTCAAAAAAAGATAATCAGTCTCAAATACAGTTAAAGGCACATGACTGGATATTTACCTGGACAAAAAGTGCTATGATGAGGACTCCATTCTTCTTCCCCAGAGCGTCCTCTAAGGAGTTAAAGAGAGTACTGTTCCAGTGAATCAAATGGAGCTGTGCACAAAAAGACAACAAAACATAACCTGTAACCAAATGTTTATTACAAGCCTTTTACACAACAAGAGTGCAAATTCATCAGATAAGTATACTTCTGTGGTTTCTGTCAGGAAAACACTGCTATACTATTAAATGCTGAAAAGTGTTAGCAAATTGGTACACACTGATTTACCATTGAAAAAAGGAGATAGAAATTGGGACAAAAATAATTCACTTATTTCTACTGCGTACAGCTGAAACAGACACATCTGAATGCACTTTATACATTTTTATTACTGTCTGGTATTAAATACAACTAAATTTCATTCGTTTTAAAGTGTGTTGAAATTATCCAAAGGATTTTTTTTTTAAACCTAGAAGCTTCTGGTAGATTGAAATATACCTTTTAAGTTCATGGGACACATCTGCACATGCATTTCAGATGCAATATCTCAAACACTGAGCTATACTAAAATGGCTACATGAAAAAAATCCAAATGAATTTGCCAAATGTTTTAAGAAGTAAATTGTAGATCTTTACAGCTCTAATTTTCTCTGGTTTTATTTGCTCTAATTAGTATGAAAATCCAGGGAATGTCTAGTTGTTGGAAGTCGGTTTGATAGCGACCATTACAACACCCTGATCTCTCTCTCATTGAGAGTTCTGAAAAAAAAGGAACTTTGAGCAAGGTGACCCACAAAGCTGATTCAGTTATACAAGTTCTGTCAGGAGGAGTGAGCTAAACTTCCAGCCAACCTTGTAAGAAGCTCATGAAGGATACTTAAGCAATTAGCCAGAAACGTTTAACTAATACTAATTGTCCTCTATTATTATTCTGGCATTAGGCTAAATAGAATAACTTTGGAATCCCAACTGAGCTGTTAAATGAGAAAAAGAGAAAGGTGATGTTTCTTTCAATCCAGCTTGTATAAACCTTTGCTCCATTGTAAGGTAAAATTTTCCATAAGCTGATGGACAAAAAGGGGGAAATATTACTCATTCCAAGGAAAGGACTGGCTGTGAATTACTGTGAAATTTCACAGTATCTTTTCTTATTGTTGTTTTGTTTTTGTATGCATTGGGTCAAATTTAGAAGTTGAAGTTGTATTTTCAAATACACAACTGGGCAAAAAGAAAAAAAGAAAAGCACATTACAAAGGAATGCAGGTGTTGAATACAATGACCTCTAGTGGAACAAAGTTTTAATACCAACAAACTTGTTCTTTTTAGGTGCTTTTTGGCAGCAAAATATTTACCCACATTAGAAAACTCCCTTTGTTGAAACAGATTAGTTTTAAATGGAAGGGCTCATCAAACTTGGAAATTTGCCTTGTTAAAATCCGGTTTGCACTGGAAACTAATCTAGATAGAGCAGTGATTTTCAAACCTGGTCCTCAGGACCCACTGTCCTGCACTGTATGCCTCTCCTTCTACACTCCTGACTTAAATAAATGGGTGAGTAGCAGGCCCCTGTAGCCCCTGTGGGCTGCTGAGAAGGGATTCATCCCTGCATCATTATATGCAGGTGTGCTGGAGCAGAGAGTCATCTAAACATACAGAACAAAAATGGGTCCTGAGGACACAGGTTGAAAACCACTGACAGTTGTTTGTGGCTAACAAAAAAAAAAAAAAAAAACCAAGATGCTGCAAATAGAATATGTTTCAGTCAAAGCATCAATAACCAACAGGTTTGAACAAAGTAATGCATGATTATTAAAAAATATTAGCTGCACCTAGACTTTTTTATTTTTCATACTTGTTTTGATTTGCTCCGGCATGATTGGATTTGATTATGTTGTCAGTTTTTGGAAGGTGTTGCAGTCTGCTACCCAATGTAACCTCTTTTATGAATAAGCTCTTGTCCCACAACAGGGAAATAATTCCATAATGAACCCCTAAGCAACAATTCATTATGTCTTTTGCATCCAAAAAGATCCATCAAGTTCAGAGGGCTCTGTGTGCTTTCAGAACATGCAGCTGGAATCATGGAAACAGTGACGTCTTTTGACTTGGTTGTTTTTACCTGATTTTACGTATACATGGCTGAGCTCTGTACCACAGTGTTAATGCAAGCTGTTCAAAGCCGTCCAGTTTAAATGATCTTATCATAGAAAACAGCCGCTCTGATCTCTGCTTGCAGCTATTTGCTGCCACATCAATCTGTGGTGCATTAAAGTGAAGACTCTTAAAACCATTCTGTAATATCACAAAAGTTGCTTTTAAGTTTTATGGAAAGAATGTCTGAAGATTAGTAAGACTGAGGATGCAGAAGCCCACTCTGGCTTCCTGTGCTAAAAGCTGCTAAAACCAAGACTCCTCTCTTACCTTCAAAACACGCCTGCCAAAGGGTTTTCATTTTGAAAACCCTTTGGCGGGGGAGGAGGGGTTCTTTTATTTATAACTCGGGCAAAATAAGTTGCAGCTAATTTACTGGCCTTTACATTTTAAGGACTCCACATAAAAAAATAAATAAATAAATCCTTAACAAATAGTAAATAAGACACAAATATTGTTTATTAGCCACAAAAGATCTTAACATATGAAACTGCTACACAGGAACCAGTGGGTAGGTTCTACTTTATATGGCGTTGTGAAATACCTACAGAGTAAGGAACTAAAGGTTTAAAAAGGTCAAATTAGTTGTAAGGTAATGGATTGATGATTTGCATCTCTTGCTGGGTTCTTACTAATTATTACATAGTCATTATAAATTATGTACATTGTAATGCATCAGAACAGCTATTTGTTTCATAGGACAAACAGGTGTTCTGTTCAAGGACTCAACCACCCACAATGTTGTCTGCAGAGGGACAAATGCTTCAGCTGAAAGTTTAAACACATCACTGTGGTATTTATACTTCCTGCTTGCTCTTTGTACCTCCATAGGGAAAGCCTTGAAGTTGACTGTGTGCTCAGATCCTCTCTGGTTCTCTTTGCCCCAGTGGAAACGAACCTCATGAAGCTCATACTCATGATCACTAGGCAATGGACCCCCAGTAACCACTGAGAAAAGCACATAAAACCACAAATAGATGTAAACAGGAAGCAAAGGTATAACTTAAGAACTAGAGAAAGGAAATTGCATGCAGTTCACTTCTAACAATTAACATCAATAAAGGTATCTTTTGTCCTGTAACTATATCTTATAGTGAGGAGCAGTGTCATAACTCCTAAGACCTACCTGACTTGGACTTGAGAAGGATGCGGACGGTGTGTCCATCGTTGATGACTTCACACTCTCGACACACCACGTAGTTTGGTGATAAACCAGCATCCAGAAGGGAGGGGTCATACTGGGCTTCCCTGGAGTTGAGATTAATGGGAGACTGGTACTCGCCGTTGGCTGCTGGGAAATGGAGTCCCCATTCTACACCTATGAGAGAAAACCCACAGCAAACATGAAGCTCATTGTTTGTGTGCAGGTCCTCTCATCAAGTTTAAAAAATGTCCTGAATATAATAATTATATTAAGATTAGACAGGAAAAGTAAATCCTTCACAGCTCACTCGGTCACCAGGCAGCAACATACAGTCAGACAGGAAAAACTGCTGTGCACAAATTCATTCACAGAAAAAACACTAGTAACCACAAGGCAGCACTTCTAATAACTATGCCACAATGCAGCTCGCTACAGTACACAGTAGTTTGCTAAGGTTTTTAACCATCTATTTCATGATTTCTATAGATGTAATCTCTAAAGTGGTTTTAGTTTAGTTGGAACTTTAAAGGTCTTTCAGTGCTTTTCTCATAACCTGTCTAATTTTTATCCCCAGCAAATTATATATATTTTTTCCATTCCTCTAAGATGCTACTGACCAAACAATATTAAAATAGAGCTGAAAATTAAAAAAATTAAAAAAGACAAGACCACCTTTTTACATGAAGACATCTAATGAACTCAAAATATAGTTGTATACTTGTTGAGGAAAATTTAAATGATCTAAGTGGCCTGATTTCCAAGACCTGTAACTTCAGGATTTTTCATGAGCAACATTTTAATTAGGGCCACAGGCAAAATAAGTAAAATTTTAAACATATCTCACCAGGTTACATAAATATAGGGACTGGCTAACCTCAAACATGCTTCAAGACCCAGGTAATTGTTGTCTTGTAGTATGAGACCTTATTGTGCATTATTATAGTGCATTACAGGCTTAAAATGAGAAAGAAATGGACCGGGAGAGGACAAAACAAGCATCAGAAATTGTCAACAACAATTCAACAACCATATTGACAGAGGACCTGAACAATCCTTTCTCAATCAGCTTTCAACAAATGCTACTTTAATTTATAAAATAATTATAATTTATTAAATAATTTAGTTGGTGCCTAGATACAATGCTGTATGTCACACTGTTGCATGATTGAGTTCTTACACATACAGCTAAAGAAACTTTGTGTCTTAAGTTAGAAGCAGTTCTGTACAATGATTACACTAAAAAACATTTCCCATATCAGATTTGAGCCACTTAACTGAAATATTAAAGATGCAGCTGATGTGCAAATAAAAAATATGTGTTAGGAATCCACTTTGTGTGTTTCCTCTCTCTCCACCACCAGGCGGTGCCCTGTCCTCGTCTGGCCTCCCTGCACACCTGCTCGTTGGTTCATTACAGGAGGAGTATTTGAGCAGTAGGCTGTCACTACCTCGACGCCAGAGTGTTTGCCAGTTTTTGGTACTCTAGCCAAGCTGAGATTAGCAGAGTCTAACCTGGCTTTGTTTATCTGAGTCTTATGTGTTTTTGTCTTTGCTCTTCAGCAGGAAGCCGTCCTGTGAAAACTGGATACCTGGACCTTCTCCCCCTGGAAGGAATTACTGAGATTACACTGAGCAGGGGAAAACCTCCACATGATCCGTTCAAGTCCCCATCGGAAATCCAAGTTTCCATTACTCCTCTTGGTCAAACGTATGTCTACATGTCGGCTCTCCAACAAGTTCCCCCCTTCTCTGGATTACCCCAACACAGACTGGATTCAAGGATTGTCAAGAGCCCCCTCAAACGTGAATCCCTCTCCAGCGTTATTCAAGCCGCAGTCTAATTTCCTGCAGTCCCTGAACTGATCTCTGTGATCTCCCCTTCAGACTTCCCAGTTCCGGTTCACCAGTTCACTGAGTTCCAGATCCTACTTCTGTGAACATTACTTCAAATAAACCTGTTAAACTTTTCCCCTTGTTCTCTGAGTGGTTTCTCTGCATTTGGGTCAGATTCCTTAAACCGATCACGACAATATGAATTTAACCACTAAATTTGGTAATAATTTTTCTTGAAAGATAATATAAAAAGAATCAACCCATGATCTGTGTATGGTACTGTTTAGAGATGTGTTTTTTTTTCTAAATATATAAGAACATTTTGCTCTTTTTATTTTCTTGTACTGAGAACCACTTGTATTGATGGTCACTTGTGTAAAAGCCTAATGATAAACCAGGATTATGTTGAGTCATTATATCACTAATGGCATGGCTGCTGTTTGTGGTCAGAAGGAGGAGTAATCCTGGCCGATGGCCACTTAAGGGAAAGATTTCATTATGTGTTTCCAAGTGCATCTTGGTGGATTCAGTCTTTCACCAAATGAGTTTCTGTTATTTGCAATATATAGAGGGAGTATCAGAGCACTTTTCACACACTGTTTGTTAAAAGAGTGTGCTATTTGTTCTGTGATCCACCGATAAAAATAAATCCCACTGTTTACCAGAATCTCCCATGTATATATATCTATTTAGAATTAAAACCCAGTGTTTCATTTTTACCTCTTACAAGTATAATGCAAAATCCACCTTTCAAAGTTATTCCTTTATGAAAATCATGCAGTAGCCCTTTCCTCTCTTGAAAACGAACCACCATCAATGTTTAATATAAAGCACTGATTACCTGCCCTCCCCATGAGGCACCTATCTTTACCTTGCTGCGCCTGCACAGTAAAAGCATGCCCCCTTTCTCCACCAACACACAGTTATATGAGGCAGAAAACCATTTCTGTTTATAGCTGAGACAACGAGTCTTTTATAGCACCTGCTTTGAACCTTGATATGAACTGCTCATATTTTAGGCAGCATTTTAGAGTTTTTTTGGCTGCACAATGGAATTGACTGTTCTAATCTAATGAGGAGCCTAATCAGCAGAAGTGGTAGGATACCATGCTGCAGTAGCTGCAGGGCAACATCATTAAATGGGCAGCACCCAAACAGGGAAAGGGGGCTTGGAGCAAAGACAAGGGTCTTAATTCCATGTGTCCATGCTTACTTTCATTTTATGAGATATACGGCTAGAGTTGACTTGGATGGCTTTAAAAAGTGCTGTTCTGAGTGTGCCACGAATTTGAACGTACTCTGATACACGTAACTTTGATACACGTAACTTTGATACACTTTTAAAGGTCAGACCATTAAGGTGGTTTGTCTAGAGTCTTCTTTTCACTCTCCGTTTAGAGACAAAAGGTTCTCAGAATGACTGAAACATGCTTTCGTCTTTTAGTAGTTTTGAGTTTGAACTCTTTAATCAAAAAATGCCCAGCTGTTTTATTATTTAATCACCCATCTGAAACTGAATGTGGTGATTATATGTCTCCAGTTGGCTACAATTGTTGTGAAAAGTATGGTGCTAAAACCATGTCAATACCTTCAACAAAAAAATAACAACCTTCTCCTGTAAGAAATGAAATTTTATGGGCTTTTGGTGAATTCAGACAGATGTTTCCAAAGGGATGTGAATGAACCCAAGGGTACTGTGATTTTTTGTTGTTGTTGTGTAGCTAGGAATGAAGGTGGCTCACAAGCACACATGATTTTATTTTTTTTATTTTTTACATGGAGCCTCCTTAAATCCTGTGTTGAAATAATTTTCATGCAGTTTTGTGATTGTTCTACAGTCCATCTGTCTACTGTAATGCCTATCAAGCTTTCGCTTTGTGTCTCCGAGACAGGATTTCAGACTGTGGTTGGGACTGCGATAATGCTGAGCTCCTTTAAAACCAAATGAAACAGGTCATGGTGAAAGAAAGGGGTCAGATAATGAAAGTGGGACATCTAACAGAAAACATAAACAGCGTAAACTAACTCAAGAGTCTGATGCAATATGTGCTATGACTGAATATGCAAGAAAACCATGATACTATCAGTGACACCAAAAGTCTGGTTTCACTTCATTATAACGTAGATGCCACCACATAGTGAGAGCAGAACAAGATGAAATGAGTTTTTGAGAATGGGAAATTTAAAAAAAAAATTTTTTAGAAAGCCCCCTTTGTCTCTCCAAAAAACAAGCCAAGTTTTAAAACAGTGAGAGTGTTAAGAGGGGAGAACATGCCTTTCTGCAGCACGGACTGACGCCTTTCTCCCCAGTGAAAGGCCATTCTCGCTAAAAGGGTGGGGAGGCCGCTACATTCCCGCTCTCCTCAGCAACTAAAGCCATGACGACAGTTTTTGGGCAGCGATTCACTACAGCACTGGAAAGACTGCAAAATTCACACTGAAATCCATTCAGGTGATTTGATTGCTATTTTTTTTTTGTATTTTGTATTTTGTCAGTTTAAGATCTATTGGAACTCGTCCACTATCCTGAATGGTTCTGTAGAGCTCTGGTTACAAATGTGTCAGCATAGGCTGCCAAAGGCCTTTTCCCACTGGTTACAAAAACATGAACAACCAGAGGATTCTGAGATGTGTGCCAAGACAAAGTATTACATCAGTATTCAGTCCCATGCAGACTCTCCAATGAGCATGGAGGGTTATTGTTTCTCATTCTGCAGGATGTTCTCAATGAAAATGGACCAAAATATTATATTAGTAATGTTTTATGAATACTAGAATCCTTTTTCATGTATTTTCCCTAAACTTTTCAATATTTGTTGCAAAGTTAGGACTGGAATAATGTAGTTTTAGGTGCGCTGTATAAGAAATAAGCAGAAATGAGCTTATAGAAGTGAACAAATTAATCAGCAATCATGATAAAGATGAGTAAAAAAAGCCCTGAAATGAATCAATAATTTGTTAGCAAAATCATCCAACCATCCGTTTTTTTAAATGCTTGTTCATGCAGGTCATGGGGGAGCTGCTGCCTTTATCTAGCGGTTAGAAGGAGAGAAGACATCCTGAACAGGTTGCCATTCGAGCGCATAGGGACACATGAAACAAACAAGCATGCATGCACACTCACGCCTAAGAGCTATCCAGACAGCAGTAACAACCATGTTTGTATACATGTACACATGCAACGGGAGTACACCCACACTTCATGCAGAAAGACCAGAGTTTTGGGATTCAAATCCAGGACCTTCTTGATGCAAGGCAATGATGGTGCAAACAGTTTCATTATCTAGCCCTGTAGCAAAGTCAGAGTCTGAAAATATTAGAAATCAACCTTCATTTTATGTTTGTTCGAAGGGTAAAATGCCACACAAAGAAATGTGATCATCTCTCATGTTCTCTTTTGCTTCTTCAGCTGTGAAGGTTGGCGTTGTTATGGGAGGGAGTTGTTTCTACCACTTTCCTTGGATTATAATCCAGTTGAAAGACTCAATGAAAATTCATTTTCACTCTTCTGGTGGAGGTTGCTGCTCATTTATTCAACATGTCCCAGTTTTTTCAAAGGTTCATAATACCATGTGCACTATAGGTTTCCAGGGCAGTCCCATTCTATCAACTTCTATCATAAATGTTTTTTCTGGAAGGACATTTGCCAGGAAAAAAAGAAAGACAAAATATCTGTGTCTATAGAGAAATTTTCCTTTGATTTTAGTTTTAAAGTCATTCGTGCAATTATTCTTTAACAGTTTATTATTACAATTTCTTTTTATAATGCCCCCCGTAAAACCTGATTTAAATAACATCCTCATTCAGATTCATGATATTACAGATGTCGTGTTGCTGTTTCTTTTACCAAAGAACCAACTTTCAATATAATCTCTGATCATAACAAGTACTTTATAACCAATTAGCTCAGATTATAAAAACATGGAGTTCAGTGGGTTCATATGGGACTCTTGAGGTAATTTCCTGTCAAACAGTCGTATCTGATTCATGCATTTAAAGCAGTTTGCATGAGTGGGCATACTTACAGGAACAGTCAGAGAATTGCATCAGAGTTCATCCTTGGATGCTCAGTAAAAGCAGCAGAAAAGGGAAGACAAAGTGAAACAGGGAAATATAACTGAATGACTTTTGCTTATGTGCAGACTATTTGAAAGTCAAGGTTTTAAAATGGGATGTGTAGAGGTGTAGTCAGAAAATATCCAGAAAGATTATATCCACTGATTTGCTTAAAAGTATTAACTTTAAAAAGTATTTATACCCCTTGGATTTTGTGGTTTTATTATCTTACAACAACACACCTCAGAGTATATTAGTGGGATGAAAGTTATTAAATGTTTTTTTGATAAATATTGGGAAACTGTAGCATGTATTTGTGGTCGCCAATGCTGAGTTATGTCTCTGTTAGTTTCTTACATC